TAATGTGTCAAGATTCACATGTTATTGTGGGAGCAGCTAATTTTTTAGTAATGAATTTATAATTTCTTGAATTTTTTAAAACATATTTCTGACTGACTGGTCGCAAAATTCCCGTCCAAAGAATATGTTTTGAAGAAGTTATTTATACGAATATTTACAAAAACACATCTGACCGGATTACCTCTGCACACAGGGAAACTCACTCAACAGTAAGAGCTTAGTGAAACTGATCCCCCCAAAAAGATATGTTTATATTGTTAAATGTGAACTAAAAAAAAAGAAAAACTAGAAGGAAACAAAAAAATGCAACAAGTGTCAATGGTCTATCTAATGATTTGGGCTACCTGTGCCTTACAGAACAGTGGTATTCCTTTGGACATTAGGGGCTTGGGGCTTACCGGTASATCTCTCTCGCGTGGAAGTCAAGATGGCGGTCGACAACGAAAATGAACATAGGGATGAAGAATTAAACGAAGAAACGGTAAATTCAGTTATTATTTGCAATATGTTTATTTTGATTGATCCTTTAATTAATAATCTCTGTTTAATTGATTGTTCTATGCAAAATATTTTGTTATATGATGCGAAAACTACGTTTGATCTTAGACCAACGACGACCCTGAAGAAGACGAAGAGCAAGAAGAAGGAGGGGAAGACGAGGCTGAAGAAGACGAGGAGGATGAGGAAGAAACCGAAGATCCGATGGAAAGTATACGTGAAAAATGCGAAGAAAAGCCYGAGTGCTCAAAGCTGAAATTGGACTTCTCTAACTGCGAAGAACGTGTTAGCAGTAAATCCAATACCGCCGAGACTTGTGCTCAAGAATTATTAGATTTTCTTCATTGTCGGGATCATTGTGTAAGTATTCCTACATATAAGACAATTTGTATTGCGTTCCAATGTAAGTCTTCAATGTTATTGAAATCAGTTTTCTATATTTTTGGTCAGAATTGTTATCTGATAATATTATATTATGCAATTGTAAAAGAAAACTAGCACAAATACACAATTATTGCCTGTACTGTGATTGCACATGTTCAATACTAAAACATTACTATATTGCATACTGATAAAAAACGGCGAAGTTTGTAGAMGTTTGTGCAATTCTGTGTTTCAATGATACAAAATTACCTTTTCCCAGACATTTGCTTTTAAATAAAAATTTTTCCTTGCTTGTTTGTTTGTTGTTACTTTTTTAAATCTTTTGATCAATCAAAAAACAATCAAAGAAAAKTAAGACAAGCCTCTGGGCCTAGGGTAGGTATAAAGGCACTAGACTGCTAACCAACTATGTGCCTTCACTTGATATTGCAAGAGTCAGTTCAAAGTATCTTTATAGTAATAATTAACTTGGAAATTGCAACTGGAAATTATCCATCGACCCAATCTTATTTGTTGTTAACCTGTTAAGTAATATTCTGTCACAAAAAGAAAGAAAGAAAACAAACAAACAAACAAAAAGGCCCATGTGCATCAAAGAACCTTTGCATAATTTTTTCACATACAAAAGTGTCTTTTTTAATCAATCAGAAACCTTTCAACAAGAGATCCGTCATTTGTCAATTAAAAGAAACAACTCTTAACTTATCTTGCATAGAAATACACTCMAGTGTWTATATTTCGAGTMTCACAAAGCAGAATTTATTGTTGTTTTTGCTYTTTTCTTATGTTTAATAACCAAACTGCYTTCTTTCTCCAGGTTTCAAAGAATTTATTCCACAAACTCAAGTGATGCAGTTGTACAATGTTAGGCCTTATGTAAAGCAACAGTATTTGTAATTCATTATACACAAGATTGCAGCTCTCTTCACATGTTCTAAAATGGATGGTTTTTTGGTATACCACAATAACTTTAATTGTGTATGATCATTTTATGATACATTGTGTGGACTTTTATGAATAAATAAACATTTATGATTGATTTTCTTCTGCACTATATTTGCATTTAGTCCTAATTGACCTGAAGATGTACCATGTGAACAGAGTGTTATTTACCTTACCTCTGTTTGCAGGGTACTGAAGACACTGTCGAGATACAATGAAATGTTGTCTGTGAATTAAAAATGGGGTTTACAACTGCTATAGCCAGATTTATACCATAATTATGTGCATAACTAACAGGTGTAAAACTGTTTTGCCCTTCAAGCATATAGTTTTGGTATCTATTGGGAAAAAGGCTAGTGACCAGCATTTGTCAACTTGAATGAAATGTAAGATTCTGTTCTCTACACAGCAGATCTGGAAGATGGCATCTAAAATCTTGGGATTCCTGGATAATTTGGGAGAGTTGGCAACTGAAAATGATAACTTTTAGAGGGTTTCTTTTTTTTTGTTTCTTTTTTTTTCTGTTACTTTTTGTAAGCTGAAGAAAAGGTCGAATTTGAAACTGAGGTTAGTTTCTAGTACTATAATAAGTTATTGAATATCTTCATGATTTTGGACACCAATATTTAATCGTACATTTTCAAAATTTAAATTTTTGCGTTTTTTAAGAAAAAGCAGACATGGGTTGCCTGTGTTACAAAATTACGTAATCACCATCTACCACGTGATCGTTTGTCCCTGAGACTCTATCAGGACCACCCCGCAGATCTCGGTTTTGTTATATAAACCCCGCGAGTCGCGGTCTCAGAACAAGAAACGCTTGCAAAGCGTTTCAGTGAAGCGGGAGCAGGAAGGGAACGGCCATCCAAATCCCAAGCTTTACTGCATAACAAGTGGTAACAACCCACAGATAATCAAAAACAAACAAACTTTCAGAACTAAGCAATGTTTTAATCGACTTTTCGAAGGCTAACATTGTACTCAATCGAGGAGAGTTCTGATCAAAAACTACGTCGTCAAAATTACCTCATCCGCCATTTTGTGAAGACAAGTCTTAGACCAAAATGGCTTCGGTTTCTGGATCTCCAGCTCCMCTAAAAGACGTCAAAAGATGCCAGTTTGGTATTTTAGGACCAGACGAAGTAGTAAGTAAAAATTTGGCTGGTCTAAAGTGATTTTTCAATAAAAAACGAAAGCGACTTAGAATGTCTTAACCGAATTTCGGCAAGGTTTTTGAAAATACAATTCAATTACCAGTTCTAAAGTTGAGTTTACAAACATTTATTATAGAAACAAATGTCTGTGACTACTGATGGAGGTGTGAAGTACGCAGAAACTATGGAAGGAGGACGTCCAAAGCTGAACGGCCTTATGGATCCAAGGCAGGGCACCATTGATCGCTTCTCACGATGTCAGACATGTGCAGGGAATATGACTGAATGTCCTGGTCATTTTGGCCATATTGAACTCGCCAAACCAGTATTTCACGTTGGATACTTGGCAACAACTGTTAAATACCTGCGTTGTGTGTGTTTTTACTGCTCAAAGTTGCTCGTTGACGCGGTAAATATCTAKAAAACATCGTTCTTTTCTCTCTTCCTTCGTGTGTCTTGTCTTGTCTTACCTGCCTCGTGTCAGAGAGCGTTGCGCATGGCTGTGCAAAATAYCAGTCGTCAGGGGAGGGGAAGGGGAGTGTTTGTTCTATTTAATTTTGTTTTTTTGCAAGAAGTTTGGTTTTCTCTTATATTTTTATAATAAACGTGATTGTAACGAAAATATTATTCATAGTGATTTTTCAAATATTTTTGGTTTGATAATTTCAGATTTTTATATTATGAAGATATGTCAATATTTGTCTTTTTGTGCATAAAATGTTATAGAATGATCCCAGAGTGAAGGAGATCRTGTCCAAAACTACCACACAACCCAAGAAAAGAATGCAGCACATCTATGACCTTTGRAAAGGGAAGAARGTTTGTGAAGGAGGTGATGAAATGGACACAACTCTCACGGGAAACCAGGAAAATGGAGAGGACACTGACAAGAAAATAGTATGTGGTTWTTGAAATTTATATATTCTGTTCGAATGATGGCAACATATAATAAGACAAYGATGATAATATTTGAATTTGTTACATCCATATTTATAGTCATATGTGCAGGYCTCAAAATAACGGCRGGTCAWAGGACAATGCRCTTCCYAATTTGCTAGATGACTGGCCAAATRGGGTTTTGAAKGGACAAATTGACCTGCCACATTTTTAGACAAATCAACTCTCAGTTCTCTAAATCAATCTTTTACAAGCCACTAAAATGCTTGCCGATCTTTCTGAATTAGGAAGGACATTTTGTCCTGCATATGTCTYGCTGTTATTTGGAGCCATGTATGTGGGAAATTATGTGTTAATCTTTTACAAACTATATTTCAAGAATCATGGTGGATGTGGTCGCTACCAGCCCAAGTTCAGAAAAACAGGCTTAGACCTAACTGCTGAATGGAAACATGTCAATGATGATTCAAGTGAGAAAAAGATAAATTTGTCAGCTGAGCGTGTACATGAAATCTTCAAACGAATCTCTGATGAAGAGTGTGAAATACTTGGCATGAACCCTAAGTATGCTAGACCAGATTGGATGGTGATAACAGTGCTTCCTGTACCTCCTTTACCAGTTAGACCATCCATTATTCTTAGTGGCACAGCAAGAAGCCAGGTAGATAAATATACAGTACTCTTTTGACATCATTTTAAAGACTTTCTGAATGCTTTGTATATGAGAAATTATTACAAAAATTGGTCTTCAGATTCTTGTAAGACATTGCCCCTGAAGTGTAATATAACATGCYTTTTACACTGAAATTTTAACCATCTTTTTCATTTTGATATATAGGATGACTTGACACACAAGCTGGCTGAGATAGTGAAAGCTAARAACAACTTGCAAAGGAATGAACTCAATGGTGCTGCAGCACACATCATTGCAGAGGATACCAGATTGCTACAATATCACGTAGCAACCTTGATTGATAATGAAATCCCTGGACTTCCAAGGGTGAGGATTGTTTTTTTTTTTTTTCATCACCTGTTTAGCCTACTTGCAAAAACAATTATTCAATTCCACTTTCACAGGCAATGCAAAAATCAGGTCGGCCACTCAAGTCAGTCAAACAGCGATTAAAGAGCAAAGAAGGACGTATCAGAGGAAATCTAATGGGAAAACGTGTAGATTTCTCAGCTCGTGCTGTCATRACTCCTGATCCAGTGCTTTCTATTGATCAAGTTGGTGTCCCTAGAACCATCGCACAGAATCTAACTTTTCCAGAGATTGTGACTCCTTTTAACATTGACAGGTCAGTARTTATATGTGATTTAACCTACTTTTTATAAGCACAACAATTACAATAATGACATTATTCTAAAAGGGATAAATCATGTTTAATATTATTCAAATAATTAATTGATTTATGGTTACTATACAGCATGCAGGAGCTAGTGAGAAGAGGCAACAATCAATACCCTGGGGCCAAGTACATCATCAGAGACAATGGAGAAAGAGTAGACTTGAGGTTTCACCCTAAACCAAGTGACTTACATCTCCAGTTTGGATACAAGGTATGMACATTATCATCTTAGTAGTTTCTATGATATTATTATGCTTTGGTTAACAAAGGATAGTTTGATGTTTTTATCAGRAGAGCAAAGCACACAATAATGTCTGATAACTTGAAAAAAACTAAAATATTGTAAATTATTTGGTTTTGTTTTAGGTTGAAAGACATATAAGAGATAACGATGTTATCATCTTCAATCGTCAACCTACGTTGCATAAAATGTCCATGATGGGCCATAGAGTGAAGATTCTACCATGGTCTACTTTTAGGCTGAATCTTAGGTAAAATAGAAGATAGAAAGGAAATTAAATGAATAAACTTTGAATGATTGTAAGAATAATGATCCAAAGTATGATTACATCTAAAAAAATATATTTTGTATATATATTTCATATTATGTTTCACTTTATTAAAAGTGTCACAACAATACCTTTAATTTATCTTATTTTTTCCTTTTTGTTTTAGTGTAACAACTCCATACAATGCTGATTTTGATGGAGATGAAATGAACCTCCATGTACCTCAGTCCTTAGAAGCAAAGGCTGAGATCTCAGAAATAATGATGGTACCACGGAACATTGTTACTCCACAGTCCAACAAACCTGTCATGGGTATTGTGCAAGATTCATTGACTGCCATAAGAAAGTTTACAAAGAGAGATGTATTTATTGAAAAAGTAAGTCTCCCCTTGATATACCTGTTGCAAAATCAAATTCTACAATTGTATAATTATTGTATTGGTCAGTTAAAGCATTGCTAAGACAATGGACAATCTTTGTAAAAGTTTACAAACACAACCTACCTCATAAAATACAATAAAATGCAGATATAAAGGACATATTCAACACTTTTTTAATTGCCATTTCTAGATGTCGCACACACATCAGTTCATTATATTAACTGAATGATTTTCAGGACACAATGATGAATTTATTGATGTGGATCCCAAACTGGAATGGTAAGATTCCRCAGCCAGCCATTCTTAAACCCAAACCACTGTGGACCGGTAAACAAGTGTGCAGTATCTTCATACCTGGACAAGTTAACGTAATACGWACACACAGTACCCACCCTGATGATGAAGATTCRGGGCCTTACAAGTACATATCACCAGGAGACACCAAGGTATGTTATTRAACACACCCTTACTAGATTATCAGGATGTTATTGATGATGACAAAAACAATYTATTGTGGTATGTATGGTACTTTTTAATTATAACATCTTGAAAAATACAATTAAGATYACTTTTTCCAGATTATGAAAACTGTGTCATTATATCTTAGGTCCTTATTGAACATGGGGAACTTCTATCTGGRATCCTCTGTAAAAAGTCCCTTGGTACATCATCTGGTAGCTTGACTCATGTTATTGCTATGGAGCTGAGTCATGAAGTAGCCAGGGAATTCTATGGTACCACACAAGTAGTAGTTAATAACTGGCTATTACTGGAAGGCCATAGTATTGGTATTGGTGACTGTATTGCAGATTCTGATACCTATGATGAGATTCAGAAGGCAACAAGGAAAGCTAAGGTAACTTACTGGAATATACAAAAACAAWTCCTCAAGCATCYTAGTMTGAYCTTYYAAATCCTTGTCAGCAAACTACCTTCTTATCTGAACTCAATTTCATCCACACTAGCTTGCTTGTAAACTTATGATCGTATATATTGAATAATAATATGGTATATAAAATAATTCTATTATTAATTATATCCATTTTGAAATCACAAGTGAATCCTGCAATCTGATTGGTTCTTAGCAGGTTGATTTCAGACCAAATTGCACTCCACCCAGTTCAATTACCATTATTATTTTATATGTTTCCTTATACAGAAAGACGTGATAGAAGTCATTGAGAAGGCTCACAACGACATGTTGGAGCCAACTCCTGGTAATACACTAAGACAGACATTTGAAAACCAAGTCAATCGTATTCTGAATGACTGTCGTGACAAGACTGGTAGCAGTGCACAGAAAAGCTTGTCAGAGTTCAACAATTTTAAGGCCATGGTGGTAGCTGGCTCTAAGGGATCGAAGATTAACATTTCTCAGGTAAAATTACAAGTGTGCGATCATTGCTTCTATATTGGATGTTTGGTTATTACACATTTGATCATTTGTTCTATTTTGATGTCTATTCATTACATGTTTGATCATTTGTTCTTTTCTGATAATAATCGATTCTATTCCAATAGGTTATTGCAGTGGTAGGTCAACAGAACGTTGAAGGAAAGCGAATCCCTTTTGGTTTCCGTCATCGTACACTACCGCATTTCATCAAGGATGATTATGGTCCTGAAAGTAGAGGTTTTGTAGAGAATTCCTACCTTGCAGGTCTCACACCAACAGAATTCTTRTTTCACGCTATGGGTGGTCGTGAGGGTCTTATTGATACAGCTGTGAAGACCAGTGAAACAGGTTAGTCCACAATTAGTTACGCAATCTAGAGATACTACTATGGTTTAATAATATAGAGAAAATCTAAAACTTCATTCATTGAAGAGATAAAAGTGTGACACTCTCATCAAATCTGTGGTATGCAATTGCAGCGAGATTATAAATCCTCTGTAAAACTCCAACACCCCTGAAAGCAGAATTGCATTTTATGAATTTTCAATTCACAAAACTGTGTGTTTGAAGGTCCAATCAAAACGTATTTTTCGACCAATCAAACGTGCATTATATTTTCATCATCTGAATACATGCCATAATAATTCCAGGTTATATTCAGCGTCGTCTGATCAAGGCCATGGAAGGCTTAAGTATTGCTTATGACGGTACAATAAGAAACTCTAACAACCAAATGATTCAGTTGCGTTATGGAGAYGATGGCATGGATGGTGGTGCTATTGAATTCCAAAACATCGCAACCATGAGACCATCCACTTCGGCTTTTGAAAAGAAATTCCATTTTGATCTTTCTAATGAGAGAAGGTTGAGGAGGTACTTTCAGGATGATATTGTTCGTGACATGACCGGCAGTGCAACTGCTTTGCAAGAGCTYGAGTCTGAATTTAGCGTCCTGCAAGATGATCGAGATTTATTGAGGAGGATTTTCCCGACGGGAAATGCGAGAGTAGCTCTTCCAGTAAACCTCAGCAGGTTGATATGGAATGCTCAAAAGACTTTCAGAATAAACAGCCGATCATCGACTGATCTTCATCCATTACGAGTTATTGAAGGTTTGTAATTTCTTTAGAGTATTTTGAAACCTATTGCTATTAATGGATAGTCAAAGAGAAGATGCTGACTTATTAGGTTTATGTTTCGCCTTATTCAAGCCTTATTCAAGCGTCAATTCTAATTGTATCGCTAGGTGTTCGTGATTTGTCTAAGAAACTGATTGTCGTGTCTGGAGAAGACCACATCAGTAAACAAGCACAGTTCAATGCTACTCTGTTATTCAACATTCTTCTACGATCGACATTGTGRACCAAGAGAGTGGCTGAAGAGTTCCATTTGACTTCTGAAGCATTTGAATGGCTTCTTGGGGAAATTGAAACAAGATTCCATTACGCCTTTGTAAGTAAAATGGATGCAATAACATAATAATCATAGGATCTGATCTTTTGATGGTTAGATATCATGATGGGTTAGATATCATGTATATTAAGTGAATATTGATTCCGATTAGGGTAAGCCAGGCGAGATGGTGGGTGCTTTAGCAGCTCAGTCACTTGGTGAACCAGCTACTCAGATGACACTGAATACCTTCCATTACGCTGGTGTATCGGCCAAGAACGTTACACTTGGAGTACCACGTCTAAAGGAAATCATCAATGTTTCAAAGAGACCTAAAACTCCTTCCTTGACTGTCTTCTTGATCGGACAAGCAGCTAGAGATGCAGAAATGGCTAAGGTTTGTTACTGATATTTTTGTATACAGATATTTTTGTGGTATTGATATTGATGMTCGTTTCGCCCTTATGATGAAGAGTGATAATAATTATTAGCAAGTTTTGGACCTTGTCATTATAGTGCTTGAGTGACTGACTTTTGTTTGTTTTTTCTCTTAGTCCGTACTGTGCCGTCTAGAGCATACAACCCTACGTAAAGTAACAGCCAATACTGCCATTTACTATGATCCCGATCCTCAAAACACTGTGATCGGTGAAGATCAAGACTTTGTTAATGTCTATTATGAGATGCCTGACTTTGATGTCTCGCGAATCTCTCCATGGCTGCTTCGTATTGAATTAGACCGAAAAAGAATGACTGACAAGAAATTGACCATGGAGCAAATCTCAGAAAAGATTAACCTTGGATTTGGAGATGATCTCAATTGTATATTCAACGACGATAATGCAGAAAAATTGATTCTTAGAATCAGGATCATGAACAATGATGAAGGCAAGATGGGCGATGTAAGTTGGAGTCTTACTTCCCAATATCCAATTGTGTCGTYCAATTATTCATTTAATTGAATCCTTTAGGACGAAGACGTTGATAAAATGGACGACGATGTGTTTCTCCGATGTATCGAACAGAACATGCTGACTGACATGACTCTACAAGGTATTGAATCCATCTCTAAGGTGTACATGAACTTGCCTGATGAAGACAAGAAGAAAAGAATTGTTATAACAGAGCAGGGCGAGTTCAAAGCCATCCAGGAATGGATTCTAGAAACCGATGGGGTCAGCTTACTTCGAGTAAGTGAAATTGTTAGCACCTAGTAACAAATTATTATTAATTGATAGTTAATAAAGAATTTCACTTCTTAGGTTCTCAGTGAGAGAGACGTTGATCCCGTTCGAACAACCTCCAACGACATATGTGAAATCTTTACGGTAAGTTGACTCAGAATTCATGCTAGTTGGATAATGATTTAATGATGATATATGTATTAATAAACATAAAAATCATGATAATTATGATAAGTCGCCGATAGTTATAATATTACTACTTATTGTTTTATTATTAAGCAGTAGTGGTTATCGATGCATTTTTTCTGTTTAGGTACTTGGTATCGAAGCAGTTCGTAAATCAGTTGAACGAGAGATGAACCATGTTATCTCATTCGATGGTTCATACGTRAARTATCGTCATCTGGCTCTACTTTGTGATATTATGACATGTAGAGGTCATTTAATGGCCATCACAAGACATGGTATCAACAGGCAGGACGTCGGCGCTTTGATGAGAAGTTCCTTTGAAGAAACGGTAAAGTCCGTTGCTTAGTCGTTCATATTGCACGTAATAGCAGTGCATGGGATAGTGAGCCATGATAATAACAGACCCTAAATTCGTTGAATCTTACAATTTGATGACACAGTTGAATTTTTCATGAGAAATGTTCTTTTAGGTTTTGTAGTTATGCAACAGATGAACTACACATGGGGTTTGATGCTATTAGGCCTGTCCATCTAATAAAATGATGCTATGTTCTGCTTTAGGTTGATGTCTTAATGGAAGCCGCAGCGCATTCCGAGACTGATCATCTTCGTGGTGTCAGTGAATGCATTATTCTCGGAAAACTACCAAGGATTGGAACAGGGTGTTTTGATCTTATGCTTGACGCAGAGAAATGCAAATATGGCATGGAGATTGCTACTAATATCATGGGACCCGGTATGGGTGGACCACTGGCTGGTAAGACATTGCTGTCACAGCTAACACTTGCATTGGGTTATCTATCGAAAACCCTTATGGATTGGAGTAACTTCGAACCGTTTCAATTGAAATGATTCAAGTGCTTGATAGTATCGCTCATAAAAATACTTTCTAGAAAATTAAAAGATGTAATTTCTGTTTTTGTAGGATCTGGTGTGTTCTTTGGTGCAGCAGGGTCACCAAGTGGTATGTCTCCACCCACAACTCCATGGAACGTCGCAACACCAGCATACGGTGATGCTTGGAGTCCAGGAATGGGCAGCGGGATGACACCAGGGGCGGCAACATTCTCACCGTCTGCAGGGTCAGAAGTAGGAGGCATGAGCCCAGGTGGATTCAGTCCATTATGGAGTCCTAATCCACAGTCTCCGTCTTCTCCTGGTCCTTCAAGTCCTTACATCCCAAGTCCTGCGACAGGCGCAAGCCCAGGTTATTCACCTGCCAGTCCTGCCTTTATGCCAAGCTCACCGTCGATGTCACCAGCAAGTCCATCTTATTCTCCAACATCACCTGGCTACTCTCCCTCTTCTCCATCTTCTGGGTATTCTCCAGCAAGCCCAAGCTACTCACCAACCTCTCCTAATTATTCTCCGACATCACCGTCTTATAGTCCGTCATCTCCATCGTATTCTCCGACGTCGCCATCGTATTCTCCGACATCACCATCGTATTCCCCGACGTCGCCTTCATATTCTCCAACTTCTCCGTCTTATTCTCCAACATCGCCATCGTATTCTCCGACATCACCATCATATTCGCCGACATCGCCATCATATTCCCCGACGTCACCGTCATACTCTCCGACGTCGCCGTCATATTCGCCAACTTCACCTTCATATTCTCCGACATCTCCAAGCTATAGTCCGACGTCGCCATCATATTCGCCAACTTCACCTTCATATTCTCCGACATCGCCGTCGTACTCGCCGTCTTCTCCGAGCTACTCACCTCAGTCTCCATCCTACTCACCGTCCTCTCCCAAATATTCTCCAACTTCACCAAGCTACTCACCTACCTCTCCCAAGTACAGTCCTACCTCTCCAACCTACTCTCCTTCTTCTCCATCGTATTCCCCGTCATCCCCCAAGTATTCTCCTACATCACCTTCCTACACCCCAGCCTCACCGACTTATTCACCTACATCACCGTCTTATTCACCGTCGTCTCCACGGTACTCGCCATCATCACCAAGGTACACCCCAACTTCTCCTGAGTTCTCTCCCTCATCGCCAAAGTACAGCCCTTCTTCGCCGAATTATTCGCCAACATCGCCAACATATACACCGTTGTCAAGTCGGTACAGCCCAGCTTCACCTAAGTATACCCCGGCGTCTGGGGCTGATCCTTCATCGCCGGAGTATTCGCCTTCTTCGCCTTCTACCTTGTCCTCACAATATACTCCTAAATAAGACATTGACTGTCTTGCTTTGAACTCAAAGATTYTTGATTTAATAGGAGGTCGATAGAACAATGAAAACCGACTATTATGAAGTGATTGAATGGACCAAATACAGCAATGAAAAAGAGAGAACTGCTWGACGCAGACTTTATTCTTAGTATAAGATACTAGTATCAAAGTGTTGTTTATTATATATCAGCTAGTATGTGATTGAAATCATTGAATCAAACAAAGCTGAAAACTTTTTATGAATCAAAGCACCGATCAAAGCTGCAATGAACTTTGTTCAAAAACAACAAAACATGAAAGAAAGAAGAAGAAAAAAAAACACAAAAGAAATTATTACCAAAATACGGCGATTACGTCGTTGAAAAAACAGTTTAATGATCAACAGTAAAAAAAAAAATTAAAAAAAAACATTCCAAAAAAGATTACCTTAACTTACCGTAACTTGTTGAACGCTAGTATTCTAGCATGTAGTTTGAATTAATACTTGATAGACGTGTTAAATAAAGTATTTATGTAGATCCCGTGTTCATTCTTTTTTTAAACTGACAAACTCGGACAATAGGAACGCCCGAATACCGAAGGCAACAATGGTGGTTTGTATGGAGGATAAACCCCTATCCAGTGGTAACAATACATGCATAATTTAAGGATGGGATAACTTTTATCCACGCACCCTTCGTATTACCGGCACATCTTATGTAAGCAGGAAAATGTATAAATTTAAGATGAAACCCGCAAGATTTTATTTACGATTTTCCATAACTACAAATCTAGCCTTGTGTTCATTTTTCAAATTCTAGTACTGTTAATTTTTGATCAGTCGGACCTCGACGAGTAACTTTCAAGATCTGAAAAAAACAACAAAAAGAACCGTTAATTATTCAACTCAATCCTCGAGAGCAAACCCTAAACTAACGTCAGGCAAGATCTACTAGGTTTCTTTCTGTGCGGAAGTTATCAGAAATATGGTTACAAAACTCTGAAACTTTGAATTTTCATTGAATTGGTATAGTGATTATTTATTCGAGAGAGTGGTCAGGGTTAGGGTTAGAGGAGACCGTTACCCACTCATGTTTGACCTGAAACCTTGATCATGAGTTGCTGCAAGGGTTGTCTCCTCGCAGACGTTCTTAATGGCGGGCTACCTATTCCCCGGGACATCGGTCTTAATACAACTTCAGACCATTGTGAGACTTGTGTGTTATCCCAATAGTCACCTTCACGGTTACCTGCGCCATCTTGAAAGGTAGCCGTGCCTTTGCACCGAAGCGAGACGACCGTTGAGCGAGCAATGATAGATACCTGTGAATAATTGTCTATAGGTGTGAAAGAAGGTTTCTATCATTGCACGCTCAACGGTTGTCTCGCTTCGATGKKAAGGCACGGCTARCTTTRAAGATGGCGCAGGTAACCGTGAAGGAGACTATCCTTTCCATGGCAAGATTTTTTTTTTCTGACAAAATGCCAAGGCAGACTTTTTTTTCTAAAATTTTCATTGGCAATATATATATTTTTTTGCTTTTGCCCCTACCCCCATTTCTTTTCTAATGGGTCGTCCCTTACCTCTTGTCTTAAACAAATGTGTAAATATAGTTGACATGCGATCCTCCAACACCACTCCAACAGTCTTTGGACCAGCCATACTTGGCGTATGTCTTGTCAGCGCCTGAACCGGACCAACACTCCCCATAGAACTGTATCCCGAAAACTTTGTACGTGTTGTTTTTCTTGGACACAGCCTTAGAACAATCTACTACTGTCTTGGTCATGTTGAACCAATTGATCTTCGACCTTAGATTGGCAACCATTTCTGGCAGAGCACGTTCACCTTTAATAAAATRTCCCTCTTTGAAACAGCCAATTGGAATGAACTCTTTACCGCCTGGTGTCTTCATTGTCGCTGTTGTAGAATGAGAAAYCAACGGAATTAAAAKAATAATCKGTTAAAAGAGAGCTAGAAAAAGAAAAGACTAACCAACACATTTCACGTCTACGTTGCAGCTTTGAGAGGTTGATAATTCTGGTGCATGGGAGCAGAACTTCTTATCAACTGACACATATTGACCATCTCCTTTGAGTTGCTCACATCGGACCTTTCTAGTCATAACYCCACCGGAACCACAACTTGCGCTGCACTATGATTGAAMGAAGATAAKAKTTGGTTAGTACATGAGATAATTTGTAAATATTACTTCAAATCCAATCTCACTGACCTTAGACCAATTTCCAGCCACCCAGTCTGCTCCACAACTGATTTCGTTGCAATCTCTCTCCAAATCTCCCTTGGGTCTCTCGCCAGCTTTGCATTTGTCARCAGYAACTGTCTTATACTGGCCAGGTCCTATCTTTGTACGGCACACYACTTCTCGGATCTGCTTGCCCCGCCCACAGGTCCTGGAACACGGTCTCCATGACGACTGATACCAACTTAAAAATAAGAGCACACCCAAAATCATGAATAATTGAGGGGAGATGATGAAAATCGATTGATCATAAAGGTTTATTATCAGATAAATTGTGTTTAGTTTACCTCGCTGTGCATGGATGGACGTTACATTTCCTTTGGGCTGTCGGTTTTGTCTGTGCGCAAACTTTATCTGAGACGTATGAGTTGTCGTCTTTTCTTAAACACTCAACAGATCTTGTTTCTATCCCTGTAGAAAACACCGATACCTTAATAATCGAATGCTAAACAAGGAAGGAGCTTGTCCAACTAGCTAAATGAACTCTTCGCCATGAAGCGAGCAAGTAAGTATCAGATATCTCTACCAATTGCTTTACCTCCTGCACATTTTTTCGAGCAAAGCGACCAATCACTAGTATTCCAGTAGACCTGATCAGCTGTAACAACAGTTTTCTTTTTACCGAAATATGAGTAGCTAACGCCGGGATTAGTTGTCATATATCCGATGTACTGTTGGCAAATAAGATAATAGTTATATAATACAATCTATTAGTGTCATTAGAATTTTTACCATAACTAGTAGAATTCTCGCGCGCTGATTGGTRGAGAGCCGTTGTCGATCGAAGGACAGACCGATGAAATGACGAATCGCTCGCGCACGGAGCCGGCGCGCGCCAGAAACGATTTTGTTTTGAAAGTTTTACTTTGTTTTCGGCTTTGTTATGGTAAAAAACAAATRGAAACTTGGCAGTGAAACCACTCGCTACGCTCGTGGTTCCACTTGAGATTTGATCATTTTCTGACGTCATTTTCATTGTCGATAAYCGTACAGACCATAGAAAAGCGATTTCGATTTGTTAACTCGACTTATTCACGACAGATAATAATAGAATCCACTTTTCATCATTATGAAGGGAAAGTTTGTTCATAATAATAGTATTGAAAGGAGAGCGCCAGTTATCCCCAACTGRTTACGCCCTTAATTATTATTACTACAGCCATGATTATCACAACTCATTCTAATCAGTTATTGTATATCCAACCATACTATGGGCTATCACATATCCAGCATTCTGATTGGCTACTGAACTATTGAAGTTAGTCGAAAAATGCCGAGAAAAATTGTTCTTTATGATATTTGGTCAAATTTGTCCTGTACCTGTGGATATTAAAATAATTAGATCACACGGTCTCGTGAACTACGAAAGATCTTTCATGTATTAGGCATTTATAAATTCCTAAACAAAACGCCCCCAGGGACAAAACGTTTTTGTTGTATTAAGGCTTACCATGATTTTCAGTGGTTTTGTTGTCGGTCCTGGGATTTCTATTCTGTCTTTATAGATATTTTCCTCATGATCGTACGCTACTTTAGTTCCAGCTGCCTTTACTGTGGTACTCCAGGTATATGCAACATTGTAAATGTATTGATTGCCTGTGTCTTTAACACCTGTTTATTGTTGAAGATATAGAGGATATCACATGGGCGCGCGGAGATACGAATTTTATCTTCAAGTGTTGAAAAGATCTCTCACAAGTGAGCGACCATGTWATATTCTGTTTATGATGTAATAACATATGAAAGTAAATTTTGTCATAAAATAGCTTTTTTCTTACTTTCACTATAAAGAGAAACCTCGAGTGTGAACTAACAACTTTACGTAATGGAGAAATATAGGTATTTTARAGATAATTACAAATAAAGTTGTATATTCGAAATGATTAATAAGTCTTGCTCCGAAGACAAAGAACGAACGTCCAAAATGTCAGGATGCTTTTAGACGACATGATTTGCTTCATGAATGATTTGCTTCATTCAGACAAGAAATATGTTATTTAACTCTTGGCAAAATTTATCTATAAGTGCTTTAAATTAAGACAATTTTTTAAAATTAAAAAATAATTATAAGTAA